TTAGGGTTCCTGAGCTTCGGGCTTCGGTTTCGGGGCCCTAAACTCTAAACCCCCATACTGCCGATAACCGCACTGACCATTTGCAAGAGCGCTCGAGGCTCCGACCGACGCCCCCGGCCGAGCGTCTCGTCAGAAGCCTCCCAGTCAGACGACACAATGGAGTACCTTGTCGTGTGCGGTCTATGCCGAAAAGTTCGGGAAAACTGATTGAGAGAAAACAGCACTACGATACTTCAGTGGGGCGGGCCCGGGGCGGGTGTCAATGTGGGGGTACCTCCCTTTCTTTGTGTGTGCCTGCTCTTCACCATCCGGGATTCCAGGGTGCCCAATGCTTTTGGTGGACTGCAAGGCCTGCCCCAAACACCTCTCAGGGGTACTGGTTCCCTGGTGGGGCCATATTAAGGATGATCATTTTTAATCCTTATTTGGGGTTTACTATAACAAAAATAATGTATCCAACAAGGATCCAGGGTAGATGTTGACACTTCGAGCGATCCTCACAGGCTGCGAGGGGCGAGTTGTTTGTTGGAAACCCGTGCTTCTCGTCGAACGGCCAGCACAAGCCCCAAAGACCCACAACCCGAATCAACCTGCCACCAATCCATCTCAGCTGAGGTTTGCTGTGAAATGTGGTCGCTTCTATAGAGCTGCGAAAGGAAGCGCAGAGAAAGAAAGCCTCCCTTTGAAGGGGGTTTGGGGGGTGAGCCTTAAACCCTAATTGAGAATAGTTGGCGTGGTTGGGCGGGACTACATGCTGACGCAAGCGCGCGATGGGTGTGCCCGCATTCCTAAAGAAGCGCACCCACTTCGCGCGCATTGCATACACACCCCAAGCCCTAAACCCCCAAATTCCTAAACCCCAAACCCTATGTATGGGGTGCAGGGGTTCGCGTGTGATGTAGCAACCTGATTAAGAAACCCTGGCCCTATAACCCCACATATATTAGGCTTCGTATTAAGAAGGGTTTCTTAATCAGGTTCGTATATTATCCCTCAATTCTACACTCTAAACCCTAAAGCCCTAAAGCCCTAAAACCCTAAAACCCTAAAGCCCTAAAACCCTAAAGCCCTAAAACCCTAAAACCCTACAACCCTAAAACCCTCAAGCCCTAAGCCCTAAAGCCCTAGAACCCTAATTAGGTTCAACGCGCCTGGATCAATGAGTTTCGCTATGTCCTCGGCCTTGTCTGGCCAGAGCGCCTGATTTAGGGGCTTTAAGGGTTTTGGGGCTTTTTGGGGTTTAGGGATTTAGGTCTTAGGGTGTAGGGTTTCGGGTTTAAGGTTTTTGGGGCGTTTTGGGCTTAAGGCTTAGGGAAGTTTATGGGTTCAGGAGGGGTTTTGGGTATAGGGGTTTAGGGAAGGAAGACCATGATCGGGATTGAATACAGAAGCCTAAGCACATACATTACAGTAGTTATAGCGCCTTTGACGGGATGTTGTTACTAACCATTCAGGCCCATGTCTTCTCCGAACCTTCAACACCCAAAATCCTCGCACCCTGAAGCCCAAGTCCTTGCCCCCGGTCCCCAGATGTTTAAAAAAACCCTTGAAAGGTAGCAGAGGGTTTGGAGAGTATAGAACATAGCGGCCTCACTCGTTCGAACAGGTTGCCCATAGGCCCCTAAGTAGTTCCTTTTTGAGAGCACCTTATAGGGATTCCCAACATGAACCACAAAATTGGGACCACTTAGGGGCCTATGGGTGTAGCGTATGTTCTACAGGGACCTTCTTCTTCGGAATAGGGTTTCACTGTATTTCCTGCTGAACTCTAGGGACTCTGCCGGAAAACTATTACTACCACTGTCCTCCTATACCCCTGGAAGGCTATAGGCCGACGGTCGCGTGAAGTTAACGAAGCCCTCCGCACCTGCATGGAGTCGCGAAAGAACACGCGCGTGGCCCAGGTGTTCCAGTTGTAAATCCGTCGAGGCGTGACCGTGGTGCCTGCAGCCATTCGCGGTGGGGCTTAGGGATTGTCAGCCCGACAATGGTCCAAAACGGGTAGAGGGTACAGTCAGGCTTGTAGATCTGGGATGAAGTTGAGCTTTGGGTCCTTTGGCCCAATGCTCGGTTGGATAAAGCTCAGGGTGCATGGCTTAGCAGTTGCAGGTGTCGGACACAAATGCTGTTCCTCGCAAAGGAAAGCTGTAGGCCTTCGATCTCTAGGCAGCAGTCAGCCGCGAACACAAAAGGTCAGTGCGGCATAAACCCTAAACCCCTATACCCTATGGTGAAGGGCTCTTGTTTTCAGGGATCGGAACGTCGGAGCCCTGTGTCTTCAAACATGGCGGAAACCAAAGTGCTGTCTCGGACAAGCAAAGAGAACCCAATATCCCGAAATCCTGAATCAAAATAAGTCATAATATCAAGGCCCCTATAATTTAAGGCATATTCCTTAAGTAAGGGGTATTGGGTTCTCTGGGTTCCTGGTATGCACATGTACTACCAGATTGCGCGTTGCATATTTTCTACAGGGTATCCTTCAAACCCTAAACCGAAAACCCTAAACCCTACTGAAAGGTATTCTGGAGGATATTCTATGAGGTATTTTTGAGGTATACAAAGGGTATATTACAAAGGCGGTCTTCTGTAAGGTATTCTACTACAAGGTATTCCGGATGGTATTCTACAAGGCANNCTGGAGGATATTCTATGAGGTATATTGGGTTCAGGGCTGCAGCCACCAAGCGGCCAAACAAATCGGCCGTCACACGTTGTTATAGGACTGCGGACTTTGCGTTAGGGCTTGCCAAGCTCTCGACCCATGAATTCCTAAACTCCTCAACCCTAGACTCAAAACTCCCAAGAAAACTTAGATTTATGAAGGCCTTAAATGCAGGGGCCTTGACAAATCGAATCCAGCTTTGCGATTTTCTTATAGCAAAGATTATAGTACAGAACCCTGCAAAAAAATAGTGGTATTTAAATTTTAGGCCGCTATGTTAGATTGCAGAACCCGGTATAGATCGCTTAGAGAACCCCAGAGCTCGTTTCAAAACCCTAAACCCCTAAACC